TGATTTAATTTTCATTTTTTTATTTTCAGGTCCAATAAAAGTCTGGTTCAAGTGGTATAAGTCCAATTTTAAATTCAGAGCCCAAAATAATGGTAATGTCCAGAATGGGTCACAAAGGCCAGCAGATAGGCTTGCCTAACCCTACAAGCCGAATCTACCAAGCCCAAGAGACAAGGCTCATTCACAGAGTCCAAAACACGATAGGGTTTTATGCTTAACACATGTGCTGCAAGAAAGTAGACCATCCGATAAAGGGAAGTATCAATGGGCCAGGTTGGATGATATTAGGGTTTTAAAACCCTAAAAAGGCATATGAACATGTACAGCTCCACAGAAGTCGTTGGATCTGGGCCCCCTCGATCCAATGGTCAGAAATCATCTGGAACATTCCAGAACACAAAAAGTCACCTATTGAGCACCAATCAACGTGTGAGAGCCATGTGCCAACGAAGATGGAAAGATTTTTCTTTCCACGGTTTGATTCAAAACCCACAAGGAAACATGATCATATCCGAACCAAAAAAGGAACAAATTAGAGCCAACTGAACATAATTGGAAAATCAAAACAAAAGCGGCAGCTAAATCAAATCCGAGACAACAAGAATCAAGATTGAGCACGAATCAAAAAGAAAGATGTTTCCCTTAACATGCAACAGAGCCAAATCGATTAACAAATCCCAGTGACCACATAATCAAAATGAATCATTTCGATTTAATCAAAAGAGGAAACAAGTCATTCAAAGCTGCCTATAAAACCTGCAAAACGAAATGAAAAGGGGGAACTTTCATTAAAAAAACTCAAAATATGAATAAAAATTGAAGAAGAAGAGAGTAGAACTTAGTTTTTTTTGCTTTGATTATTGAGGAGGGAAAAAACAGTCGTTGGAGATTCGAAATGCCATCAGAGAAGGTAAAATTGGGACACTGTTTCGTTAGATCTTGGCCATGGCGAGCATTGCATGTGGGATTGGTGTGCATATTCAGGCTCGAGGTATTGAGCGCTTTCGAAGGGGCTAGGGTTTGAGTCTTTGACCACCGTGGGTCGTGGTCGAAGCTGTAGTGAGACAGCGACATTCAGTCGAGGTAGATGACCGATGTTGGGGTTGGTTGAGAGAAAGTTGAGAGAGTAGATGTCTTTAGTCTTAAGTAAATGGCATAAAATGAGTGAAGAAAGGTTTTGGTGGGGATTTATATATGAATCAAACATGAAATATGAGTTTTTTAAATCCTTTTCGTCGTCCATATAAGCTTGAATTATAATTCAATTCGGCCATTCAATGCAATTTAATCCATATATTTTAATTAATTAATTAATTATTATTTTAGTACCCTAATCATTTTTTTTTGTTTTCCAGTATGCCAACTTTTTTTATTTTTCCTTTTTATGTTATTTTCATTTTTTTCGTTTTCTCTTCATATCTATTTCATTTATATTCTAACGTGGATTTTTTTAATTCCTAAATAATCGTCAAATGTAATTGTCTCGGATTGAACTTTAAATTTTATTTAAATTTTTAAGTTTTGTAATCAAGATAACCAGGAAACCATGTCATACCAAAATACAATATGGGGGTGCTCACCTTCCCCAATTGTAATTGACTTACGAATCCGACGAAATCACTGGTAAGACACATATCTGGTAAATGGGAAAAATTGAGGTGTCTAATATACCTAATTCGAAAATGATCGGTGTCGACTCCGTCACAATTCCAAATCGAAGTGTGAACCTAGGACCACCTGAATGATCGTTGCGACAAATCAAATTGATGATTATTAGAAATACACCCCTTACACCTCTTTAACATTATTAACCTCAAATTCTATCCTTAAATCATCAAATTCACTTCCCCTTCAACCCCATAATCACCAATTCAACACTTTAAGCATGAAAACAATGAAATTTTTATATCAACTTGTGCATAATTTCGTGTAGATTACATTTCTATTTCATGTCTTAGTGCAAAAACTCACTAGAATGGCCTGAAAATGTAAAAGAAAAGATTGCTTTCTCATCCATGGAGGTTACAATTTGAAGAGAAGAAGATGAAAGTTTTTCTTGATTTTTCTACACTTAAAGTCATGGACATTGTTATATTTTTAATTAAAATGAATTAAAAATTCATTTTATTTTTAGTTCTTTCTACCCATATTGAATCTTGATATTTACCACCTTGCCATGCTTCATCATGCTTCCATCACCATTCTTACATCATACAATATCAATAATTATTTCATAAATTTTTATCTTTGTCCCTGTACTTTTCCAAAAATTTCAATATGGTCACTTTAATTCAAGTATTCCACTTTAACATGGAAAGTCCACTTATTTCCACTGATCCATGTTAAATTCTATTGATTAAAAATAGCATAATAATATTACTAACCTCATACTACTATCCTTCTAATTTTTGTAAACTTCCGATTCGATCTGGTTATCTAAATATTTTATTGAACTTTATCATTTTGTAGCTTTTAATACAAATACTGAATCAAAAATCTAATTCCTACGAAATATCATTATTAGGGTGAATTATTTATTTACGAGATAAAAATTCTTTTTAGGAAAATTACTTCTTTAGACCCTAAACATTTCCCAAATTTCTACTTTAGTCACTAAACTTTCAAAATTTAAATTTTAGTAACTTACCAAAATTTTGGGATATTACACTCTACGACATGCCTACTATACCATTGTTCCTCAATGAAATACTTGGACATGTATTATAAATTTATTCAATCCATGGCAATGTATATCAATAATTCAACATTGGACAGTTCATACCCGAAATAACATTCATAGCATATCATAGTATATAAACTAGTAATAAATGCTTTTTATATTAACTTTTGACATATTTAGAATATGTCAATATATAATAAATGGCATAATATGTCAATATATATAATAAATATCATTCCTAATGATGTATAAAACATCCATGTATCATATTATGTATACATTGTACTCACATTGACACTTTTTATACATGTCAAAATATAAGTCTCGCTAAGCTTTAAACTTGATCATTTACTTTTGATTAACTTCGATCACGGAATTTATCACATTCTATACAAAATCATATATATACAACACATATATTCAAAGCATATGTTAGTATCGTACTAACATAAGTAAAATCTAATAAATAAGTCCATAAAATTCATTCGATACTTGTTCGATATCATTTCACAACTCAATATCAACCTTAATCATTCCAAAATGACACTTTTATTCCTTAAATATTCATATTCATCACTAATCCACATATTTTTCACAACTTTACATTTCAACCATAATTTATAAATTCTTTTAGAATTCATCCTAACTTTTCCAATTCATTCAAAATGGTCATTTGCCATTTCACTTCAATTGAATTCCAAACACCAAAATTTCCAGCATTTTCACTGTATTTAAACTAATACCTTCACAATTGCGTAATTACTATTTAACTCTCATACTTTCCAATATTCTTGATTTAATCCCTAAACTTTAGCAAACTTACAATTTGATCCAAATAAACATTCTAACCTTAAAATCAACATTCAAATATTAAATTCCAGAATATTATTTCAACTATTACACAATTTCACTTCAATCCCTACAATTTCCAAAATATGTGAAATAGTCCTTATACTTTCACCAAGTTCTAAATTTGTCCAAATAACTTTCCAAAGCTTGTAGAACCATTCTAATATCAATTCTATTTCTTAGGAAAATTTTGTATAATTTTCCTTAATTTATTTCATCATGGTTGAATTCTTCAAAGTAGTAATTCAATTATTTCCAACTTGATTCAAGCATGATTTCAACCTTGTAACATCAATTCATGTAATTCCATTCAGTTCCATATCAATTTCAACAATTCTTCATGAAACTATAAGTTGGCAAAGTCTAACATAACCATTTCTAATGGTTTTTATTCACCAACTTGCTTGGAAACAACTCCATAACATCACTAACATCAAAATTCAACTTTAAATGACCAAAATCCACTTGTTCTTCACCCACCATATTCATGAAGTCATCACTTCAAGCATGAAAACGTGAAATATTTACACCATCTTGTAGGAAATTTGATGTAGATAATTTTTCTATTTCACACTTTAGTCCAAAAATAAACTAAAACGGCTTTAAAATGAAAAATAAAATCTCACCTTAGAGCTATGGATATCACATCAATAAGAGAAGATGATGAGCAAATTCCTGAGTTTTCTAGCAAAATATCTACATCATCTCCAAAGTCAAACATGAACGTATTTTTCCATACTTTCCACTTTATCCTTGAAATTTCCAAAAATTGCAAACTAGTAAACAATTTGGATTCAACATGGAAAATCAATCTTATTTCTAATAATCCATGTTAAATTTCACTATTCTAAAATATGAAAATAATTTTTTTAACATTCTTCTAACATTCTTCAAAATTTTTCAAACTTTCGATTTGACCCAATTATCCGAATATTTTACTGAACTTTATCGCTTTATACATTTTAATACAAGCTCTGGATCAAATATCTGAAACCTACGAAAATATTATTCTTGGGGTTGAACTATTCATTTGATGATATTTTCTTAATTTTTCATCATAATTATTTTTAAATAACTAAATTATATAAAATAAAAATTAGTAAAACTAATAGAATATATATATATATATATATATGATTATTTTACATGATTTTTAAGTAATTGATTGAATATTTTACGAAAATAATGTGAAAACAATTAGTGATTTGTCCTAAATCAAAAATTAATTAAGAAAATAGATTAAAATTTACGGTACAAGGTAAAATCATATTTATTTATAATTTTATTAGTTTTTTTTTAATTTCTCTTAATCGAATTTTAAACCTCAAATTATAAATTTAACAATAATTGTTGACTACTTTAGTGGTCCATGTAATATCTAAGCCAATGTTATACTTGTTCCTAATTAAGTCGATAAATTCTACTCAAAATAAAATTTCTATTCTAAGCCCATGTAATATGGCTTTAAAACCTCTTTGTTTAAACTATTAGGAGCAAAGCTCTGGACAAGGGAAAACAATCGAAGTGGATCCCCGGTTCACAGCTGTAATGCCTGGAGAATCCAGAGGACGTAATCTTCTCAACGAGGAAATTTTCCAGGTTTTCATTCTTTATTTTAATTTCCCCCCTCGATCTAATGGCTTTTACCTCTATTTTGTTTATGTGCGTGTATATATATTTAATTGAAGTATTTCTCAGGCCATTTATCTGTCGTTTTAGGATTGAATATTACTTTTTAAGTATAGAAAATGATTGGGTTTTCGTTATATTGTATAGAAAATGATGGGTTTAGTTTATCTATCGTGTAGGAATTTTGTGGTCTGAATTCTATATATATTCTTTTGGGGAAGTTATCGGCTTGCGATGCCATATATTATATCTTGTTTTTGTCTGGCATATCTTTTCCATAGATATTGACTATCGAGACAATAGCTGATTGATCACTAATTGGTTCGAAATTGATGAGTTGCATGCATGTGTTGTAATAAGATGAAATTGGGCATATGCTGTTGTTCTCCCCATTCCAAACTTACAGATGACTGGACCTTTGTATCTCTGTCTTCTAATTCTTAAAGAATTTGATTCTTCTGAATAGATTATCTGCTGGCCAATGGACGTTAGAAATCTCCTATTTTTGTAATGAATTTCATAGAAATATGAACTTCAGTTTATCTTTAGCTTCTTTTGGTTTCAGATAGGCTTCTGTTTCTGTTTCCTAGACGTTGTTCTCAACCCAATTCTTGAATAGTATACATGACTGTATTTGTTAACTGTTGTGGACTCAGATCATTTATCAAGTGTTTAAGGTTGGACTGTAGTTCCCCAAGCGCCGGAGTTGAAGGAAATTGAAGGGAAGAGAGAGACTATTGATGAAGGCAAGAACTGTGGCTGATGGGCGTTTGACAAATGAAATGGATTCCAACGGCAAAGAGATTAGAAATTTTGATCATGTGTTTTCCCAATTTGCATACAAGGGCAATCATGGTGAGGAAAATGTCTTGAACAAAAGTGAAACTGTGAGCAAAAAGAATGGAAAGAGGAGGATAGCTGATGTGCAAGTACGAAAGGTTTCACCGTATTTTCAAGCAAGTGGAAAAAAACATAACAGCTTAACTGGCAACTGCGGAGGACAGCTCAATTTGATTTCGCAAGTTTTGTACGAGGATAGTAGTAAGGAAAAGCTTTTGATGGAAGGGGAAAACATCAGCAAACAGAATGGAAAGAACAGGATAACAGAGGAAACGTTTTTGAATGAAGGGGAAAATGTAAGCAAAAAGAATGGAAAGAAGAGGAGAACAGAGGAAAAGTTTTTGAAGGAAGGGGACAATGTTTGCAATCAGAATGTAAAGAAGAGGGGAGGGGATGTGCAAGTTCGAAAGGTCTCTCCGTATTTCCAGTCAAGTAAAGAAAAACAAGGCAGGACAAATGGGAATTGCAGAACAAAATCCAGAGTATTGAAACAGTCCCCTTATTTTCAGAAGAGCAATGAAACTTTGGATGGCTTGAGAAAACCAAGGAAGACAGATGGAGTTAAAACTTTTCTTTCTGCTTCTCAGAAAAGAGATGAGGCTTACCGACGAAAAACTGAAGATAATACATGGATCCCTCCTCGCTCTGAAGCCCCACTTCTGCAGGAGGATCATGCACATGACCCCTGGAGGGTCTTGGTTATATGCATGCTTCTCAATAGAACATATGGCGGCCAGGTTTCTTTCAATTAAATATTTTATTCCATTATGCATTTCTTTACTTAATAATGCTTGTTGCAGTTAGATTAGATGCTGTTTCTTTACTTTTGGATGTTTTGTTGCTATGAAATTTTCATGCTTAGTTTTCAGTCATCCAAGTAATTCCATGTTGGAAAGTGGAAACATATTTACTTTTGTTCTAATGGAGCTGTAATATAACAACATTTAATGAAACTTGTGTTTGCTAAAGGTACTGCAGATAAATTGTATTATTTGGATTGGAAACTGAAAACAAATTGAAATATGATCGACTTTCATGAGATTCTCTTTTCGTTATCGTGGTTAGCCGATCCTGATCAATTTGTTTCTTTTCTTACTGTGATGGTAAACCAAGCTAAACCTGTTAATCTCGTCATTGACCATAGAACTTCCCTGTGTTCATAATCAACGAGACATCAAATTTTTTATATTTCCATCATTGATGCTTTTTTCTATGGTTAAACTTGAGAAAATCGAAGCAGTGGATGGTAAAAGCTGTCAAAGTAATGATGGTTACATCAACTGCAGGCTAGAAAAGTATTATCCGAATTCTTCACCCTGTGCCCTGATGCAAAGACAGCTACCGAGGTTGCTACTGAGGAGATAGAAAAGGCTATAAAAACTCTTGGTTTGCAAAAAAACGGGCAGAGATGATACAACGAATGTCTCAGGAGTATTTATGGAACGAATGGACTTATGTGACTGAGCTGCATGGTGTTGGAAAGTAAGTTGGCTGTTCTCTGTCTCTATTCATTCTTGTTAATCCCATGTTTTCCACATGAAAACAGTTTAGATTTGTAACCTTTTCGATGACCAGGTATGCTGCAGACGCATATGCGATATTCTGCACTGGAAAAGGGGATAGAGTAACTCCCACCGATCACATGCTTAACCATTATTGGAACTTTCTCTATGGACCCAAGAATACTCCTCTCTAGATAAGGTTAGATGTTCTTTTCGATAAAAAAATGGTCTGTGATTAGGGTTACGTAAATTACTGAAGTTATTCTAACTTTGAGTAATTTTATATCGGTTCAATGGAAGATTATGAAGAGTGTCTATATATGCCCCTTCATGTTATCTTCATTTAATTATTGAAGTTAAGATTTAAAACAGACGTACAATTATCGTCATCTAGTTTATGTTTGTGTTGACGTGTCTACATGTACTGCACCTATCTTTTAGATAATGGACTAAGATGTTATTTAATACTCTCTGATTTTTTTTCCTGAATTTCTTCTTTGATCAAATTCTTTTCCCCCAGAATTTCTTCATTTTATTTGGGTTTGCAGACGTACAATTATCGTCACCTAGTTTATGTTTGATCAAATTCTTTTAGATAGTGTCTATATATGACATTTAATTTATGATCATACTAATCGAGAAGAAATCGCTTCTAAGATAATGATTTATATTGTAATATATTAAATTATTTTATTTAATAGGATAAACTTTTACTGTCGATGTTAATATTTTTTCGTAACAATACTATTTTAACACAAATTTCATTCACATATTAAATTTGATTGAGATCGAACAATTTCGCAGTGCTTGTTTATAATTTGAGAACTACTCGTCACAGATAAAGTCGACTAAATAATTTATTATGCACTTAGGCACGAGAATATGCTTAAAGTTGATTAATTGTTATTTATATTTTTTATATATAAGGTGGTATAATTTATTACATTTTGAAACACCTACTATTTACATTACTTTATTAATAACCTTAAAAAACAATTTTTTTTTCTAACAGCAAGAGTTGACAGCAATCATCTTGTTTTATCTCTGAAGCTGGGATTTCAAACTTTACATCAATTCGCAGCTTAAATATACACTTAGTTGTAAATGCTATTCTAGTGCTAATTTCCGAAGCAAAAAGCTGAATTATGGTATGAATTGATTATGGGTTTTGAGGTTATTGATGTTGTAGAATCATTTCTAAGCTTGTTTGATGATTATAACCACCTAGAAGTGTTTTATGTGAATTCGGCCTAAACCCTAAATTAGGTGAAGTTTGTGATTTGATGAAATTGAGTTAGGAGTTTGATTGCAACGATTTTGAAATGTTGAATAGAGGTTAATTTCATGCTTAAAATCATGAAACTCTACCCCTAAGACATTCGGCCTAAGCATTTGGAATTAAGAAAAATTATGAAAAAATTATGTTGGGGTTGGAAATGATGTAGGAAGGATTCTATAAGCCTTAGAAAGTTATAGGGACCCTTTTGTAATTTTGTGAAAGTCGGGGGATCTATTCGACAATTATGAAAAAATACCAAATTAATGTGTAATTATTCAATAATTGATGTAATATGCTAGAAATTAATGTTTGAGTGTTAGAATCGATATTAGAATGTGAAATTGGGCCATTTTGGTAAGTTGGTAAAAGTTGAGGATCAAATCATAAATATGAAAAAAGTTAGAAACTTAAGTGAAAATAGCATGTGAAGTTTAGATAAATTTGGATAGAAAGGAAACATGAATGGTCAATTTATAGTGTTTAAGTCAACATTTATGTTGTGACGTGGAATTTGTATCGAATGAGCATCGAAAGATTTATTTTTAGGAATTTACTTTTTAATGCGTGCCTATGTTAATAAGATTCTAACATTTGAGTTGAATTGTACATGTTTTGTAAATGTTGTTCATTTAGATTATGATTGAAATCAAGATCAAACAATATTAAAGCTAATGAGAAGCTTAAGGATTAAATGTGAATTTCTAAGGAAGGTTGCAAGCTAAAGACACTAGATGAGTGCATATTTAATTTGTACTTATGTTATCGAACAAACATTGGCTTACGATGAGCCAGTGACACAGTTACTATGGTAAGAAGTGAGTCCTAATGTTGTGTAACTTTGTGATTCATGCATATATGTGCATTTGGTGAGCTAATATAACTAGTAAGTAAGTTGAAAATGCAAATTAGTGAAATTTGCTTAGATTTGTGATATGAATAGTAAGTTTAAAAAATCACCATATTATACAAAAATGATTGGAGGATGATTTCTATACCGCTGGATTCATATTTTAGTCTAGTTTTTTTAAAACAAATGGCTACTGATTTTGAGGAGTATACAAAAATTAGGTAAGAAAACAGTGCATCAGATTCTGCTCAAAACAGTTTCTGTAAGTCAACTTTGAAGATTCACTATAAATTGAACAAATTGAACTAGAAGAAGTGCCTTATATGGTTATATTCATATTCGAGTCTAGTTTCTAGTGGTATAAACGAAATAATGTTTTAGTGTGTAGATTAATATAAATGATATTTCTTTCGTTTGCCCAGAAACTGGTGCCATTCTTTGGCCATATTGTGGGAGATGGCAAGCTTCAGATGTACATGGACAAAATCCGGGAGATTGAGGAATGGAAGCCGCCAACCAAAGTAACATAATTGAGATCATTCTTGGGTCTAGCCAATTACTATCGGCGTTTTCTGAAAGGCTACTCCAAAATTGCCGCACTTTTAACCAAATTGCTGAAGAAGGACAAGGTATAGGATTGGGATTTGAAGTGCCAGGAAGTTTTTGATGAAATTAAGTAAGCCATGATGGGAGAGTTAGTATTGGTGTTGCCAAATTTCACCAAACCGTTTGAGATCTACATGATGCATCAAATGTTGCCATTGATGGAGTCCTTATACAGGAAAGACATATGGTTACATTTGAAAGCCAAAAGTTGAATGATACTGAAAGGAAATATTTGGTTCATGAGAAAGAAATGACAGCGATAGTGCATTGTTTACGCATATGGTGACATTATGTTTTGGGTTTGAGATTTATTGTATTTACGGATAATGTTTGACAACGGTTATTTTCTAATACATAAAAAATTGTCTTCCAAGCAGGCTTGTTGGCAAGAATTTCATGTAGAGTTTGATTTTTCCTTAGAGTATAAGCTGGGGAGAGTTAATTTTATTGTCGATGTTGTAAGTCGAAGGTATGCCATGGAGTTCATTAGCTTGCTTGAGGGAACATTTCTGGACTGTGTTATGGAGGGGTTGTCCCATGACCCAACGACCAAAACTTTGATTGTTCTTGTCAAAGAGGGGAAAACTAGAAATTTTAGACTCAAATAGGACATGATGTATACACAAGGACACCACATATATTTCCTCAATATAGAGAATTACGTAAAACACTCATAAAAGAGTGTCATGGATCTCAATGGGCGGGACGATAACTTCCTAAAAAGGCTACTTTTAAGGCCTTTTTCACTTAAGTTATTATTTGTTTAAAATCTCATTTTAGTCATTTTAGGATCATGTAGTTGCATATAGTTGCATTTGTGATGATATTGCTATTTTATCTTTTAAGGATGTTGTATGAGAGAAAGGTGCAGTTGCTTGTGGTGTGCAGGAAATAGCAAGAAGAAGGTAGCACTGGGAAAGAATGCCGTGACATCACATGTTGCTAAAGAAGATTGAAATGCCTTGGTATTTCTGGCACAGAAACGAACAAAAAGATATTTCTGTAAAAGGACAATTGGCACAGCATGTGAATGATGGTTGTAACCACCTGATGGGGGACCACTGCCACTTGGAGGATAAGGTTCACGCACAAGGAGTGACTCTAGGGGTATGATGGGTATTTTGAGCGCAACAACCTCATCATTACCCTTAGATATTTTTATTATATATTACACCTAACATGAGAGGGAGGAAGAGGATGATTTTCTGTAATATTTTTCGTATCTTTTTATTGTATCCCTTTTTTCTTCCTTGAGTGGTGTTCCTCCATTGATAAGCTCCAAGGAGTGGCGAGCTAGATGCCCGAGAGGAGCTAGTGAGCTAAGACGAGTCTTGGTGGTATAGGAGAGCTCCGATTACACACGTCGAAGGCTTATTTTCCCTTCATTTTTAATGCTATTTTCCCATTTATTATTGGGTTGTTTTGAACGAATATTTCATGGCTTGTTCTATGGATGATTAGAACCCCACCATGAAAAACCTTATTTGGTCGGGTTGTTTTTTTGGATGTTTAACTTTATGTTAATGGTAAATTTATGTTTATCTTTTGTATTTGCTTGCTTTGCTTATGAATGCTTCATCGTCTAAGTTTGTAAGAGGCATGAGAGTGTCCATTTCTTAGATGAAGGCTAGGTGTTCGAGAGAAACTTAACTAAAAATACTTGTAGTATTCGAGAGAAATACAAGAAAAGATCCACATAAGTAATGGGCTATAGTATTTTATTAAGCTTTGAACTGGCCTAGTAATACTATATCATAATCCCTTAGTACTTGAGAGAGACTAAGATAAGATTTTAACGACTAAAAAGGGTAGTTTTATCAATAGTGTAGGCTTCCATAGCTGAGACTGAGAGGAGATGCCGTTGCATTCTATTCTGTTAGGTTCCTTTGACTAGAGATAGCAGGACCATTTTCAGGAAACCCTGTCGAGTAAGTGATGTTTATATAGATTAAATCTTCCTGAGAAATAAGTTTTAGCTTCCTTAAATCAATCCCTACCATTCATTCCAGTGGAAGCTTGTCGTGTGAGGATTATCAAACTATTATTTATTTGTTGTTTTTACTATTTTTCATTGCCTCAACATTTCAACCATTTCCAATATTAAAATATGTTTTGCCACTACATTTCCATTTTCTACCTCATCAGAATATCAATCCATATCCACCCACATCCACTTTCCATTTTCGTGACATTTTAATTTAGTACATATCAACACTAACTATACTTATATAGTGTAGAGCTTTGCATTGCTTAAACTTTTGTAATTTCAACCAATCCATGTGGAGAAAATACCCACTCATCACTTTATTACTTGAGCGATTGTGTATACTTGCAAATTATTTTCGTATAATTTTATAGTACTCACAACACGCAATACGTTTTTAGCACCGTTGCCAGGGATTAGCAGCCTGAAGTTAATTAGTTTTTCCAGAGCATTTTATTTTTGGATCTTTATTTGTTTATAGTTTACTTGAAATTTTTTTATTTTTTAGGTTTATTTAGTGTATGCCTAGAAGAAATTCTGAAGAGCCATTGGAACTGATAGAACCTGAGATTGAAAGATTCTTTAGACAAAGGAGACGTGCTCAATGTGCTCGAGAAAATATGTATCAAATTGGAAACCAAGGCATTGGTCAAGATGACAGAATTCCTAATACCGAGGCATTACAAAATGTTGAA